AAAAAAAAAAAAAAAAAAAAAAAAAAAAAAAAAAACCACAAAAACTCAAACCCCCAAGAAGACTTTTCCAAGAATATCCCAAATCTTCCTAACTTCATCCACCAGACCACCTTGAGATGGAAATGTCAACCTGTCTCAAAGCAGCTTTGTCAAAGGCACTTTGGTACAGGAAACGCAGTAAGAGCAGAGCTGCCCTCAGCTGCTGTGTCCCAGCTCCCTGTGCTGGTGCAGGAAGCTCCACACGGACAGTAGTGAGAGTACTTCAGCTGAACTTGCAGACACAGTAAACACCAGGAGTTCTGTCTGGTATCTCTGGTTCACTTTCCTGGTGGGATAGACTGGCTAGGCACAAGGCATTAAGGTCATTCTGATTTCTCCCTGTTATTCCTGGTTGTTCTTTCAAAGTCAGAGATGGGGGAGGAATCTAGAGGAAATCCCTTTTTTTTGCAGATCAAGCTTTTCCTAAGCAAAACAGTCCATGAGCTGATGCTGCCAGAGCTGAGCAGCACCATAGTGACTGCCTTGTTTTTGGACTAGGAAGCAAAGGGAAGGACTGGTTCCTTCTCCCCGTATCCTGAGCAGGTGTGAACCTGTTCAGTCAAATACAGCTAAGCCGAGCAGACATTTCAAACAGGTAGGATGAGTCTGGGAAATTTATGAAAAGAAATGAGTTAAAGAAAAGCAGGCTGTGAACAGCTCAGCTGCAGCATGGAGAGCAGCAGGAGCAGGACCTTGATAGAGAAAAGCCCTCTGAGGGTCTCCAGAGGCTGCTGTGATTTACCTGGCGGCCTGGGGCTGGCAAGGCTGAATCTCCGTGGAGAAGAGAAGTGGCAAGAATGGAATGAGAAGCCAGAAGTAGGACCAAGGTGCTGAAGACACTTGGATGAAGTCTGACCTGGACAGGGAATATGATGGCAAGGGGAGCACAGTAAGGGCCAGGTGGGTGGGAGGGCTTGAGCCCCAAGTAGCTTTCACCCTCTTCCTTCTAAACCAACTCAGAGCTAAAGGGAATCATCCCTGGCACGTGGCACAAGGAGGTATCTGTGGCACAGGAAGATGTCCATGACTCAGGTAGTCTCACAACCTGAGCTCCCGGACAGTGGTTCATCACCTTTCCTGGCCATCATGCTTCTCCAGCAGTCTTGCTCCTTGATGCTCCTCTCAGCATCATGAGCATCAAACCGGGCTGGGGGGCCTGGAGGTGCCTGCGTGTGGCTGCCCAGAGCCCCTTGAGCAAACTGAAGTGTCTCTGATATGGGAATCATGACACTAGGGCTTTGCAGTCTGCTGTCTTGCAAAGGACTCGCTGATCAAGGGAGTTTGCAGAGGAGGCAGCACCTTGCACTAGGATTAACATGCTGCTGTGTCTAACAGACACAGCAAATTTCCCTGTAGAGAAACTCATTCTCTAACCAATGCCACTGCATATTAAGTTTGTAAAAGATAAGAGCCAAATTGTGTTTCTCTCACTTTTGTCAACACTTGTGGGTTTTTCCCTCCTTTTTTATGTCTGTGGTTCAATAGGGCCCCTACCCCGTCTCCTGCTGGCTGCTGGCCACTGGTGCCTTACCAGCCATGGCACTGAGAGGGTGGGATTCTATTCCCTCTGTCAGTATTTATTTCCTTCATGGCACCAGACAAATACACCACACAGGACTCCTCTGTGCTGGTGCACTACATCCCCCTCCTGTAGGGATGCTCCATTGACTGATGCTTCTTGGATGTGTTTGCAAAGGTGGCAGTAAGAGCGAATACCATTGTTGGGATTTTCCTTATCCCTGTTCACTAATCACATTGTCTCTGAAGTCTTTAGAAATTGTGCTTCTTTTGGCTGGGTTAACATTAATTATCTTCACAGTAGCTATTATGGGTATAAGTTTTGAATTTATGCTGAAAATATGGAGACCAAAAATACAGTGTTGACAATATGGAGATATTTTTCTTGTTGCTGGGTGGTGCTTGTACAGACCCATGGTCTTTTTTGCTTCTCACCCTACCCCACCAGGGAGGGGGATAGGGGTGCATAAGGTGTCGGGGGGACACACAGCCAGACAGCTGTCCCCAAGGGACCCAGGAGGTATTCTGGACTATACAACATCATGCTCAGTTTATAAAGCGGGGGAAGAAGGAGCAAGGGTGTGGCGCTTGTCGCGGTCCCTGGGCACAGGGGAGGGCAGGGCTCCCCCGCGAAGGGAGCGGGACCCCGCGAGCCGCGGGCCCGGCGCGGGCTCCGCGCAACTCGAATTGCCGTGCGACCTCTCAGCCAATGGCCGGAGCACCTTCCCGCCGCCAGCCAATGGGAGCGCGGCACTCCCGGCCGCCAGCCAATAGGCGCGGGGGGCGGGGAGCTGGGAGTAACGCTCGGAGCGGCGGCGATGGCCCCGGAGCGCGGTGGCCGCCCGCTCCCCGCCGGTACCGAGGGTCTTCCCCGGGTTTTCCTGCAGAGCCTGCGGACTCTTTTCGATATCCTGGATGACCGGCGGCGGGGCTACGTGCACCTACGGGAGATCGAGTCGCGCTGGCGGGGAGCGGAAGCCCAGGAGCTGCCCGCCGGGGTGATGGAGGGGTTGCGGCAGGCGGCGCCGGCCAGCGGGTACCTCACCTTCGAGAGGTTCGTACTGGGGCTGCGGGCGGCACTGCCTGGGACTGAGCCGCCGGTGGAGGGTGGCGGCGGCGGACGGCGGAGCGCGGAGAAACCGCCAAGCCCTCGCTGTTCCGAGGAGCGGCGGGGAAAGAGCACCGGACAGCGGGAACCGGGGCACGGCCAGCCCCGAGGCCGCGGTGAGTGGCGGGACTGCACTGGGCGCTTCGGGCTCGCGGGGTGATGGCAGCGCCAGGGACGGGGAGCGGCGCTCGGAGGTTGGGGTGCGATGCCGCGGCTCGCCCCGCTCCCCTGTGCCCTCTGTGGGCGCAGAGCCAGCGGCTCCCGCAGGGCCGCTGTAAAACTCGCCGAAGTTACTGTCAGAACTGGCTGCTTTGGCTGCGCTGAACTCCGATTCCGGTGCGAATATCCCAGCGCCGCCGCTCGCCCAGGGCTGTGCTTCCCTCGCGATGCGCTGGGCTATTTATAGCGCTGACAGGAGGAATTAAGGGCTTTGCCGTGATGTGTCCGTGGTTGTCCCCTGGCGTAGAGACTGTCCTGACCTTCCCCGGGGGCGGGTGGCACAGCTGGGCGTCTTGGAGAGGGGCTGCGTCCTGGGGCCCCCCCAAGCCGAGCAGTTGCGCTGCGGTGAAGCTATGGTCACGGAGCAGTCGTGTGCTCAGTGGACTCTGTGCTGGGCTGGCTCTCAGGTATGATTCCTTCACGATGTCTTGCATGGTTTAGACAAAAAATGCAAACCCTGACCCAGCTTTTTGATTTGGATCATCCCACAGCACTATTCCCAATAACAAATAATTAATCGATTAATAAATGGGGGAGGAGTACCAGGGTGATGTGCTCTGCTGTCCTAGGCTCTGTCCACAGAGCTCACCTGTACATCCCTGTGGGCTCTGCCCTTTCCACGGGATCTGGGCTCCCTGTGCTGGCTCTGCCAGAGCCCTCCAGGGTGGTACACTCACCCGACCATGGGGGAGACTCTTTCACTCACATCTTGATTTGTTGCTAGTCAGTAGAAGATGTTATAAGGAAACCAGGCTTCTGGGCTTATCTGGGTAGGTAATAATTCTTTATATAGGTTTGTGAAGTGCTTTGAGATCACAGGAGACAAAGTCTGTGTGTGGAGCTGGTACATGTTATTGCACCACCTGAGTGCAATGACTTCCTTCTCCTTGGGAAGGTCAGGCTGGTTTGCCTTCCCTTCCCAGCCCAGTCCCTTCTGCTGGGTGGAGAAGGAACTTTTAACTGTAACTGAGGTTCTCTGCTTTCCATTTTTGCCTCCAGACTAACCACTAGAGCTACATCTAAGGGAATGTTATTAAGCAGACTAACTTTTCTGTCATCAGGAGTGTAAATCTGGAAAAACCTGAAAAAAATCCTGCTTGGTGAATAGACAGCAGGTTGAAAGCTCTGCCCTGGGAAGGAGCAAGCAGATGATTGCAGCAGTTTTCTGCTTGCTGAGGATCTTTCCATTACAGTGTGATGTTCCATAACTGTCCAGAGCCTGCGGGCAGGGTTAGTGCCTTAGCCCTTGCTGCCAGCATCCCACACTGCAGGGCTGTATTTTGGCAAGAGGCCTGAGTTTCAGGTTCATTCAGCAGCTTAGAAAATGGTACAACTCAGTTATTCCATCTCTTTTAGCTCTAGATCCTGCACAGCTGCCCAGTGCACTCCTCTAGAGGTGGTTTCCCAGGGTGCAGTTGAGCAGGTGGATGTTCTCAGCTGGCTGCAAGGGAGTTGGCAGTGCTGTGGCAGGATGTGGCTCTGTCCCTGCTGCAGAGATGTGTGGTGGGTGCTGGGAGCTGCCTGTGGCTCCGGGAAGACCTGTCTCCACTAAGATTATATCATTTGGGTGTGAGGCTACTCTGAGCCTCCAGCTGCATGTGGTGGCTTCTGTAAGACCCCAACCAAGTGCAGTGAGGTGACGTATCAGTGCTCATAAGCTCCAGCGAGTGGGAGGAAATGCTCCCTGCCTGTTTTGGGTGAAGAGGGTGCTCACAGAGTGCCTTCCCAGCTCTGCTTTGCGTCTGAGGAGCACCTACACCTGTCAGAGGTGATTTGGATGCGACTCGTGGCAAAATGGCAGAGGTTGGGGTCAGGCATGTCCAGGGGTGCAGTGAGCCAGTGGGACAACAATTCTGTTCGCTCTCCCACACTAACCTCTGCTAGTGTGTGGGCAAAAGTGCTTCTGAGGTCCCTGCTTAAGTCAGCTTCCAGCTTCTCCTCAGCCCAGCAGTGCTGGTGCAGTCTGCGAGCTGCTGCTTGGCACCCCATGGTGCCTGGGGAGCCAACAGCACCCTCTGGACACAAGGATGGTGAGGTGGATATTGGAGAAGTCACAGGGCAGGGAAGTCACCGTAATGATGTCCCTGTGTTATGGTGCCTGATGTCTTGTCACAGCAGTGTCTGAACGCATTGCTCTGGGGGTCTTTACCCCAGTAGCTCCCCTGTGAGCTGGGGCCTGGAGGAGTCAAGGCACAGAGCAGAAAGAGCCCAGGCCCTGGGCATTGGCTCCTCCCCAGCACAGTGCTTTCCCTTGCTCCAGGGGTGCCTTGGCTCTAGCAGCTGCAGAGCTGTTGCTGGCACTAGCTGGAGGAGAAGCTGGTTTGTGGGGGCTGCTCTGGGCCTTTGCCCAGGATACTTGTGGAGAAGTGTAAAACAGCCATGAAGTGTCTGCTTGCCCTAGGCAGAGGGGGTCCCAGAGGGAGGAAGGAGCCTGTCCATTATCACATGGCAGGATCTCTTCCACCTCTGGTGATCTGATCCTGTTCTTTCCCTAAGAACAACTATCCCAGCTCGTTAGCAGGGGTCCTGTTCTAGCCACTAGCTTGTCATCTCAGGTGTGCAGAGCTCAGTTGGTTGACCAGGAGCTCCTGCTTATCACGGGTGCAGCTCAGCTCAACACTCCTAGGTAACTGCAGTAAAAAGTGTTTTAACATGTGTTTGTCCTGCAGCTCCTACCAGAAGTGCTCCTAGCTTTGCTTTGGGATTCTGACTGTTGAGAGTATCCTTGGTTTTGGGGCTGTTCCTCAGCTTTTTGAGCAGGACATACTACAGGTCTGCTGGAAAATGTGTGTGGTCACAGCAGTCTTGCTGGGTTCCTCCCAGATGGATTTGGGTATATGAAACCAAAGGGAGCTGGCAAAGCAGATGGATGGGTGATATCAAAGACTTTGTGTTCACAAATGCTTTGTGTTCACTGATGTGCCAGAGTACTTGCTGGGAGGTGGAGTGAGATACTGTGATGGACCAGAAGGAGGACTTTGCCCAGTGACAGACACAAAGTGACAAACTGAGGTGTTGCATTGCCTGCTCTGGAGCCAGTCTCCTGTCCCTGAACCAGTGTGACTGTGGCAGCAGGGGCAGCCCTGGTACAGAGCACCCACACCTTGTACTTTCAAGACAAAGGGCGGCTCCTGTGGCCATGGCTGCACTCTCCTGCCTGCTGTCCTTCCTCTCTCATGTCCATGTGCTCAGCTGAGGAAACTTGTGGAGCAGAGGGGAGAAATGTGCCAGCCCATGTGGTGCCACACACCCTGTCCTGGCACTCCCAGCCCTTTATGTGCCTGCGGCAGGGAATGTGCCAGACCTGTGCCAGGCAGCTCTGGTGGAAGCATGTGTGAGGGGTAGGGGTGCCTGGCAGACACGTGGGCAGCTCTCTTGGGAAGAGGGCGTTTTCCCCACCTGCCTGCCATCACTTGCCGGCTCCCTGCTGCTCTTCTTGAAAAGCCATGTTTGGAAAGGAACTCTTCAGGAACCTGTGTGCAGGGAGCAGGCAAGCTGTGGGACTGAGGGGGTGGCATGAGAGAGGGTGTGCTGGGCACTTGGCTGGGGACTGGGGCAGGAAGGGAGGAGCAGCAGGCTGCTATCCAGACTTGCCTGGGCATGTGCTGGCTGCACCCCTGACTGCCCTGATGCTGTGGTTTGGGATGGTGGGGTGTCAGGGTTCTGCTCTACCAGCTCGCCTAGCAGTGGATAGGAGCTGGCTTGGCTGTGACTGCAGGGCTGGGTTTCTGCTGAGGGTGGGCAGTGTGGGGCTTGTATGGCCTTCACTGCAGGTGCCCAGGGAATTCCTGCCCTGGCTGACAGGCAGGAGGTGCCTGATCCAGCCTGAAACCTGCCAGTATGAACTTAATCTTCAAAAACAGGTTATGCATGAATTTGTATCAGCACCGTGTGTTTTTAGTAGATTGGTCTTTCGCAGGATAAGATGTTGGGGTTTTAATAAAATTTTGGGAAATCTACAGTCTGATTTACTTTATGGTTACATCATAGATGTAGTGTCTGGGCTGAATATCCACATGGCCAAATCCATCACCAAGCAAGAACTGCCTTCAGGAGAAGTTGGTTTTCTAGCAGAGCAGATGCCACCTGAGTGGAAGCAGGGTGTCCCATGAGGACATGTGAGGGCAGACAATATCACTACAATATCACTAATGGTTTAGTTGCCCCGGCTGGGACTGGACCAGCTTTGCCTGGAAGCTGCTTGCTTCCTACAGAAGATGCCTGAGATCTGTTGCCAGCCAGGCACAGCTGAGTCAGTCATCCCTGGCATCTCTTCTGCCTGGACAAAAACAGGAGCAGGCACTCAGGCTGGTGGTTTGCTCAGTCTCTCCCTGTTTGCAAGACCACCCTGCAGATCATCTCACAGAAGTGGTCCTGAGGAGGATTTTGTTGAAAGTAGCTTGTGCCCTCATGCCTTCCTCTTTTCCAGATGGTGATGCTAAGTCTGCTGGGAAGCCCCAGGGAGACAGTGACCACCCAGGGGCTGGGGACACTCGGAGGCATCAGAGAGGCCGTGCAGAACACCGGAGACACACCATCACCAATGGCGTGGACTTCAGCATGGTAAGGGAGTCTTGTGGCCTCCCATGAAGGGGAAGGTGGGTTGCAGGGGTCCCTCATTGTCTATGCCATCTCTGGGCTTTGGCTTCCTCTCTGCCCACCCTGCACAAGTGAGTTGTGGGACGTCAGGCAAATCCTGACATTTGGATATGAAGGTCTGTTGATGTATGTGGATGTATATTGTTTCCAAGGTGCTTTCCTGAATCATGGCAAACAGGGAGGAGGTGGATCCTTCCCCCTGAATGGGGTCAGCCCATGAAGCCAGTGTGTTGGCTGCCTTCCCCATGGGCAAGGTCTTGGGAAGAAGAAGACAAAGGTGGAAATGTAGGAACAGATGGATCTCTGGGCCTTAAGAGCACCCCAGCAAGGGTCAGGTATGCTTTGTGCTGGCAAGCAGTGGAGCCAAGCTATGCCCCCTCCCAGAGGTTCCATGTAGATCAGGGCTCAAACATGCAGGTTCTCTTGGCTTCTGACAGACTTCTTGCAGCAAAGCAGAAATATCCACACTGAATTTATCAAGGCAGCCCAGGATGGAGGGGTCTGCTTCCCTCTCTCCACCGCTGAGTGGAGAGACTTGGATCAAATTGCCTGGGTGAAGGGATCTCTTCTTGCTCCCAGGTGGAATGGAGTAGTTGCCTGGGCATGTTGTCCACAGGCTCAAGCTAAATTGTCCTGGGCAGAGAGCCAGGACCAAGCTTGCAGGATGAGTACTTGGTGGCACTGTCACCACTGTACTTTCACTCCTTGCACCCTGGTGTCACCCTGGTCCTGCAGCCCAACAGGCCTGACCAGGGGAAGGGATGTTTGTGCAGGTAATTTGCTGGGCTTGTAGCCATGACAGGGGCCGCTGCTGGGGGGTGCTGATAAGAAGTGATAAATGTTGCTCTGTGTAACTGGGATTGAGGGCTCTGCTTCTTGGGGTTTTGGGGGCTGGGGAGAGAGGCTCTGCTTCCCTTCCCTCTGTGTGCAGCTCTGGGCTGGAGTACATCTCAAGGTCCCAAGCTCAAGGTGCTCTGTGAGGGGAGTGCTGGCCACCATGTCTGTCCCTAATTCTGCCATAAGCATTCTTGCTGAGGGCTTGTGTTGCCTCGGTCTCTGTTCCCCCAAGTTGTCATGTGGGCAGTGGGAGAGATGTCCCCTCCTTTCCTCTCTCCCTATACGTCACCAAGTGCTGCACTGCCTTTCTGTGCTTTTGGCCCCAGAAAAAGGATGTCTCAGCCTTCCCTGACACCCTGAGCACAACCTTTAGGCACTGGTGCCATTTCCAAGCTTACAGAGAGAGCTGGAACAAGTTTGGGTCCAGCAACGACTGAATCTTTGTACTGTCACCTCCCTTACCCCTCCCTGCCCTGATGTTTGGCTCCTAAGGAACAAGGAACTCTATCATTAGACTAATTTGCCTAAAGCCCTTGGGGAATGGGAGCAGAGCTGGGGAGGCTCTGCTGCAGCCCCAGGACCCTTTGCACTCTCTCATCGAGTGCTCGCTCGCTCAGCTGGTGTTTTTCACCGGCCAGTCCCTCACCTCTTGGCCTTATTTTCCCATGCCATGAGGGTGGCTGGGATGAGACCTTCCCTGAGAGGTGGAGCACTGTCATTTGTAAGCAGCCCAGGGCACAGCTCTGTCCCCTCCCCTTTGCCAGCCACCGAGCACCAGCCAAGTCCAGCACTTTGTTTTTCTCCTGCCCCAGGTGTCTCATCCTGGTGAGATGCTTCCTGTCCCACACTGGGCAGGGCTGGCAGTGTCCTTCTGTTCTGTGGAATGCTCTCGCTTCCTCTGGTCTCTGTGCTGGCCAGCAAGCCCTGTGGGAGGAGGGCAGGACAGGCAGCAGTGGGCTGCACCCCCAGCCTGGATGGGGGTCCTTGCCACACACAGCACCTTCTTCTTGCCCCTCAGCAACTGCACTAAGGCTCTGCACTTCTTCCTCTGGGTATGTCCCTTGGGCCATTGGAGAAGGGTGCAGGGGGAGTTGTTGTGTTCCAGAAAACATTTCCAGGAGCAGCAGGAGCAAGAGCAGCCCCAGTGTAATGGGTGGCAGGTATGGGATGCGGAGAGGCTTTGGGGCTGGCAGTGGGGACGTGGAAATGCTGATGGCCTGAAGAAGGTCTTGGTGTGGTGCCACTTGTCCACAGGGTTCTGTTCGGGGTTATTTCTGAGCTGCTCCACTCCTGATGCTCTCCAAAGGAGGAGGTTCTGGTGCATCCAGAATTTTCTGAGTGACCAAAGTCTCTGGTGCCTGTGGATCCCAGGCTGTGCTGTGAGTGAAGGCCAGGCTGTGTTGTGGCAAAGAAGGCAGAGGCAGCGAGTCAGGAAGTTCCCCATGCCCTTGGGAGCTGGGGGAGCGGCCTTGTGTTGAAATGAGAAGGGCCGTGGGGTCACAGGGCGAGGGTGATGAATGGGTCACTGCAGTTGTTCTGTTCCCCAGGGATGTCCCCTCATCCCTCTCCTCCCTGATTGGCAGTGCCAGCGTGGTGCCAAGGGGAGGCAGGAGCAGAAGGTGACAGTGGAATGAGGACTGTGGATCCCCTGTGGAAGTGGGCGAAGCCCCCGGCTCTGCTGCAGCCTTGGGTCCTGCTTGGCCTATTCCAAGGGGTTGCTCTGGGGACAGAAGTCCAGGCACCCTCATAGCAGCTTTCCAGGCACAGCAAGGCCCCCACTGCTCTCCAGGTGATGCTGGTGCTGGAACCTGAGCAACCAGCAGAGATCTTCTGCAGAGAGGTGTGGTGTGCCATGCTCTGCTCAGTTTCATGTGCCTCCAGGGGTGAGGCAAACTGGGGAAACAGGGCTGCAGTTTTTTCCCTGACTTCCAGCGTGCAGAGTGAGCTAGACTCTTCAGTGCTCACCAAAATCCAAGTGTGTCTGTTCTGGGGCTGACACTCACACCCCAAAGGGAGCTGTGGGCAGCTGCAGGCACTGCTCCTGCTGCCTCTCTGGGTAAATAGGTGAAGAAGCCTGTACCTGCAATGGTGAGCAGGAGGGTAGAGGTGACCCAAGAGTCCTTCACATAGTTTGGTTGTTCTCCCAAACTGGAGAACTTTTCTTCCAAAAATCTTCCTCCAAAGCAGCATCAGGCAGCAGTAATTATCCTGCTCCTCTTCAGCTTTTCTTGGGGAAAGGGGCTGAGACCCTTACCTGTATCCACATCCCCCCACACCTCATGAAGAAACCAACTCCTGGGACTTGACAAAGCCTTGGTGGGGAGTAGGTGACATCTGTGTGCTCTGTTTTGCAGCTGAAGTACATGAAGGAGCTGGAAGTGGAGAAGGATTTCCTGTTGCAGGGCCTGGAACTTATAGACCGGGCTCGAGAGTGGTACCACCAGCACATCCAGCTCATGCAGGAGCACCAGCGGCTCCTGGGGAAGAGGAGAACCAGTGCTGTGAGTCTGGGGCTACATGTGGGTTTGGAGAACAGGGCTGGGAGGTGGCTGGACCTGGAGCTGACCTCCAGCCTCTTCTTCCTCCCCATCCTGCAGGATTTCCCTGAAGGTGGCCAGAGCCATCTGGGGCGCCTGGTCCCCAAGCTGCAGGAGGTGAACCGCTGCCTGGCTGACCTTCTTTCCACTGCCAGCAAGGTGAGAACAGCACTTCAGCAGCTTGAGGTTGTTTGTGTGATCTTAGGATTCATCCTGTCCCTCCCATGTTGGTGGCTGGGCTGACATTGGAGCTGCCAGAGTTTCCCCCAGCTCTTGGAAGGTGATGGAACACAGCCAAGAGGACAGCACAGCTGCTCCTGAGGTGGGCTGGAGGATGGTTTGGGAGGCCTAAAGGAGAACCCTAAAAAGGTACAGCCATTATCAAGGTGCTGAGTCAGCCAATTCAGAGCTGACTCTCCTGCTGGGCAGAACCTGGGGGTGCAGCCCACTGCTGCCTGTCCTGCCAGGCACGCTGGCAGGAATGCTTCCCCATTCTGCCCCATTCACAGGGCTGGAGACCCTGTGATGGCCTGTGATGGGGTTTTAATCCTCTGCTGGCCTTCTCCCAGTTCTTTATGTGCCATAGAAACATCTCACCTTGAAGAAGGCCTGGGAAGGGCCACAGGGTAGAAGGCTCAGTGTCTCATCCCTTCATCTTCTCTACAGACAGCAAACCCCTCCTCAGCACTGAGCAGGCTGGTCCCTGTGACATCCCCAGCCTCCACAGGCTCCCAGCAAGCCATCAACATGCTGAAGGAGCAGAATCGGCTTCTCACCAAGGTGAGTGGAGGTAGGGGTGGAGGAGATGTCCTTGGGGGTGCTGGGAAAAGAAAGGGATGGGATGGGATGGGATGGGATGGGATGGGGCCAGGGAAGGAATGACAAGCAGTGTCCAGGAGCAGGGAAGTGTTCCATCAGCTTGGTCAGACTTGGTCATCCCAGAGAAGGGGTGTGGGCTGCACGTGGAGACCCTCTGGCACACAGCTGTGCCCAGCTGTCTCCAGCTGTTTGCTGGGTGAGTCAGTGGCAGGGATGGGGCATTCCTCCCAGAGGGAAAAGACTGTGACAAATGGAGGTCACAAGAGAGTGCAGAGGCTGCAGCTGGGGGCTGTCAGGGAAGAGGTGGTCTGCCATCTCAGGCCAGGGCCAGGCTCACTGCTGGGGTTTTCTGTACCAGCATGTGGCCACAAAGATGCTCTGGGTGCTGGAGTCCCTCTGCTCTGGAGCCAGGCCGGGACAGCTGGGGGTATTCACCAGGAGAAGAGAAGAGGAGGGAGACCTCAGAGCCCTTCCAGGGCCTAAAGTGCCTCTATGAGAGCTGGAGAAGGACTTTGAGTAAGGGTCTGGAGGGCCAGGATAAGGGGGAATGGCTTTCCACTGCCAGAGGGCAGGGTTAGATGGGATAGTGGGAAGAAATTGTTCCCCGTGAGAGTGGTGAGGCCCTGGCACAGGGTGCCCAGAGAAGCTGCCCCATCCCTGGAAGTGTTCAAGAACAGGTTGGAGAGGTCTTGGAGAAACTGCCTCTAGTGGAAGGTGTTTCTGCCCCTGGTTAGGGGCTGGGATGAGATGGGCTTTATTGTCCTCCTACCCAAAGCCTGTGAACCTGTGGTTCTATGAAATTTTACTGGCAACACAACCAGTTGCCAGCAGTTTCCTCCTCTAACCAGCTTTTTCCTCCCCTGTCTTGTGCAGGAGGTGTCTGACAAGAGCGAGCGCATCACCCAGTTGGAGCAGGAGAAATCTGCCCTGATCAAGCAGCTCTTTGAGGCTCGTGCCCACAACAACCATGAGATGAGCCAGCTGGATTCCACCTTCATCTAGCACATGCCTCCCCTGCCCCATCCCCAAACTTACCTGGGGGATTTCCAGGGACTCTGGCCCCAAACTCATCACACCTGCTGCTCCAGGTGTTGTGTCTCCAGGTCTGGGGCTGCTGGTGGCATCTCTGTGCAAGGAAGCCAGGACCGCTCCTGGGGAGCATCCCTGCCCTGTTGATGGCTTATCAGCCATGCTGCTCTCAAGCTGCTCCTTTCCTGTCTCTAAGTGGGCTGCAGGATGCTGTCCCCAGCCCTGTGACCCCCAGCATGCAGGAGACATGGCTGCTGTCTGTGCTGCCCATGTGGGGTCAGCTACTGTGCCCTTGCTGACTTAGGCTGGATTTTGGGTGCTCTTGGGGAAAAGTGATGTATCTTCGACATTCTAGCCAGCATCTCTAGAAGGAGATGGCCTGGCCCTTAGAGGGTGCTGGCTCCTGCTTGTCTTGCTGTTGGAAGACAAGATTGGAAATCCCAGGAGGCATTCCTGGCCCCTCTCTGCTGCCCATGTTCTGCCTGCCAGAGGCATTGTCCAGCCCTGCAGTGCTCAGACTGGTGGTCCTCATGGCAACCACTCTCATGTTTGTGGTAGTGATACTATACTTGCTATTTACATGTCTGTAGGCTCCTATAGGGAATGAGCCATAGAGCCAACCAAGGTAGCCTACACCTCTGAGCTGCTTTTTTGAGCTCTTGGGAAGTTGAGACAGACACCTCCCTGTTTACTTGACCTGACCTGGCAATTACTTCCTGATGTCTGCCAGGATTAGATTATTTTCATGATGACTGTGAAAGCAGAAGTGGTGTTCCACAGCCTGAGGATGCTCACATCAGCCTGACCTCACAGAGGGTCTTTAGAACTTGGCTTTGTATTTAACTGAGTGTGGGACAGAGCAGAGGCTGACAGGCTCTTCCCTGTGCACATCTACACATGCAGAAATGGCAGCTCTGCCTGACATGGTTGTGGAGGCTTCTGTCAGGGATGACATCCTGACTGTGAGCTGCACTCCTCTGCAGGTGTCTTGAGCGGTGGTGGTGGTTCAAGATGGGTCCTATTAGATGGTTCATCTCAGGGCTCCTCCTGCTTCCCACCCAGCTCAGTGGTGATGCTTGGGCTGAATGACTGTGGCTTGGTACTTGGTATCCATGGTGCTTTCTCTGGAGATCCCATTTAGCTCAGCCTGGCCCTCTGTATCCCCAAGGTCAGGACCTTCCTCTCTGGCATTGTTTCATGTCTGACTCTCCAGGCATGGTGCTGTGGCACTGAGCTGAGCTGGGCAGAAGGTGCTGGTTCTGCCCTGAGCTGACACATGCAGGCCAATTCTGTTCTCACTTCTGTTCTTATCTGTCAGAACTCTGTCCCATCCAGCTGTTCTGTTTGAGACTGATCCCAAGCTGAAGCTTACTGCAAGGCATGAATCCCTACTCTGCCCTGTGCCTGCAGCTGGAGTGGGGATCACCAGGGAGATGGTGGAGGAGGAGCAGCAATGCCATGGCTAGTCATGTCCCCTGTCTGCAGGAGTTGGCTGTTAGTTGTCCCCCAGGCATCAGTGCCTGCCATCCTTTTTGTGATGCCTTCTCTAGTGTCCAGTGCCTGTTTTGCCTGAGGTTAATTAGAACTGACCCTTTTTTATGAGGGTTACCTGTCTGTAGGGATAATAAAGTGGGGTGACCTATTTAATTTATCCTCCTGTCTCTCCCTAAATCACCCCATATACTGCTGCTGGCCCTGAAGTCCCTGACTGTCCTGTCTCTGAGAATGCAGGGAGAGCTGAAGCTGCAATCTGGTGAAGTGAGCAAACAAGGAGCCCAGGGGTCTCTGCACCTGGATATGTTTCCATGTCCTTTCCCATCACCTCTGGTCCTCTCAGGGACTGGGAATACCCTGTCCCCTGCTGTGGGGCAGGGTCTTGAAGCCACCTGCACCCCTTCTGAGTGCTGTAGCCTCATCTGTCTACTCCTCCAGAAGCTGTGCTTGGGGCTCACACTGCTCAGGCAGTGCTGGTGCAATTCACAACCTCTTATTTGCTTTCAAGTACCCTTTCTCAGAGCTGCCCCACAGTGGTGGCAGCAATGGCTGGTGCTCTGCAGTGACTCCTTCCCACAGGGTCAGCCACAGGGGCCCTCAGTGGCATGGCATGTGTGGCACGTGTCCCTCTGACCTGTGCTGAGATGGCAACTCGCACAGGGTGGACCTGAGGCTCTGCACTGATTGGGGAACCCTCCTTTCCCAGGCTGTGGGGTGAACCCTGCATCCTGCAGAGGCTGAGCCTCCCCTGCGAGGAGCAGAGCCAAGAGGGAGACCCCAGTCCACTTACTGGCAGCTGGCAAGGGAATGTCTGCCATGGCATCTTCCAGGTGCTGCTTAGGACAGCCACTAGTTCCAGCTGGGCAGGAAGAGGATTGGTAATTGCCCTTGGTTCCCATTTCATGTCTTTGCTTGGGTGTGGAGCCCATGAGGGCTTCCAAAGAAAAAGAGAGTCGTGGTTCCCTTGGCAGACTGCTTCAGGGCAGCTTTCCCCTTCCCCCTCCCTGCCTGTGGCCGCAGCCCAGGGGGGTTGTCCCAGTCCTGGCCAGCAGCACTGGCCCCCACCCCACTTTCTGTGAGCCTGCAGCAGGTTGTGGGGTAGCCCTGGCAGTACCACAGCCCACTGGGACCAAGTTTCCCCTGGGAACTGCAGAATTCACCTCAAGCTGTCACTCTGGCCTGACCACACTTTCTAGGTCCCTGGTGGGCTTGACCCTCCCACAGCCCCAACTCCTGTGCCCACTTTGGCACCCTTAACTGTGGGGGCTGGCTCAGGAGCCATGAGACCTGCATTTGGGGCCAGGTCTGTAAGTGATGTGTATGCTGGGACATGTGGGTGAGCATGTTCCATTCTCTTCAGGCTTTTTCCTGCTGGAACTGGATTTGCATAGATCTGTGGCACCTCCAGGGCTCTGATAACTGTTGGAACCCACTGTGTGAAGCTGTGGTTACACTGGGAACAGCTGGAGCAGGGCTTTGCTATCCCGAGCCAGGACAGTTCCTGCCAACCCACCTCACCTCCCCACAGCCCTCCATGCTGCAGGTTATCACGGACAGGTGCAACACCGTGGGGTCAACATGCCTGTCCCTGGGCATTTGAGGTGGGTGCCAGGGTGACATTGCATGAGGGGTTCCCCAGAGCCCTGTCTGAGCAGAGTGAGCCCTCTCCTGAGCTCAGTCTGGAGGTGTACTTGGCCCCTGGGCTGCCCAGGGATACAGGATCTCATCTTCTGAGTCCTCAGCTGTGCAGTTTGGGAAGGATCCAGTCACCCAAGTTTATGTATTCATACTTTCTCTCCTCTCCTGCCCAGCTACATGCCCTTTACGTGTCCTCTGAGCCTGGGCTCCATGCCCCTTCAGAGAGAGGCTGCTGTCCTAGCAGAGCGATTATCCTACACTTCAGCAGGAGCAGCTGCATCTTGGGCCCCTGACCTGAACATTCTGAGTCTTTTTTGCTTTTCTTCCCTGCCATATGGTCAGCAGTGCTGGGCCACCAGTCTCTGCTGGCCTGGTTCTGCAGCCCTCCTGCTCTGCACCTCTTGGCCTTGCTGTTGTCAGTGCAACTCACTGGGATGCAAACTGAGCATGTGAAGACTGGAAAGCCCTGGGTCCTGGGGATGGTTCTCATTGGGATGGGGAGTTGGGCCATCCAGGCCTGACCGGAATAAGGAGGTGCCTGTGGCATCTCAGACCTTCAAGCAGGTGCTGATCTCCCTGTGATTCCTCCCTTAGAGTGTTCTCCCATCCCAGACCATCCCTGTGCTGTGCTGCTGCAGCCCTGCCTGTATCCTGGGCTCTTGCTTTTATCCCAGGTTCCAGAATGCCAACTCTATTCTCCTCTTGGCAGGTACAAACTGCCTTCTGCTTTAGGTGCTACCCAGTGCTCCCCGTTCCCCCTCCCCGCTGTGGCTGACATTTGCAGCTCCATGAGCAAAGGCCCACGCCCAGGTGGAATGGAGAGGGTCTGCCCTCCCCACTGCAGGGTATGTTGGAGGCTGAGCCTCTGCTCACCAGCATGGTTCATTTCTGGGGGGGTTCATTTCCCATCCCGAGGGGATCGAGCACAGCATCCAGGCTCTGCTTCAGTGTCCCATGAGATCTCTGCCAGAGCCAATGACTCGCCGTGGCTGTGATCCCAGCCTGGCGTGGGCGTTCACCTCTGCCTGCACAGCCACTGCACTGTTCCAAGGTACAGCTGATTGAAGGCAGATGCTCCCTCCAGGAGACCCATGTGATGGGGAAGAGTGAGGCTCCCAGAATCCCTGCTTTGCTCTGCAGCTGCGTACCACAGGGACAGTGACTTCAACTTCCCCGCATTGCAAGGAGGCAGCAGCACATGGCAGATAGCCAGCCCTGGAAAAGCAGTTGTCAGGGAACGGAGCAGGGGCTGAGGTCATGGCAAACACCCTGGAAGACCACATGTGTGGGTTTCCTTAGAGCCAAAGCGTCCCTTTGTGGGACACCTGTGTGGCAGTGGGTGCAGACAGTGGGTAGAGGTGACCCCATCCTGCTGTGCCACTGGGACACCTCTGGTTGCTCCTCCCGGATCATGCTCTGGGTGGGAACAGGCAATTGGAGGGACAGGGCCTGCACTAGGTCTGGGCTGCAGTCACATCCCAGGGAGCCATCAAAACCCACTCATGTAAAAAGACCCTTTGACTGCCCTCCTCAGCTGTAGACGAGGGCTGGGCACATGAACCACTGAATCAGAGAATCAGAATCTCAGATGGTTTTGAGTTGGAAGGGATGTTTAAAGACCTTTTTGTTCCACACCTTCCCATGGGCAGGGACACCTTCTACTATCCCAAGCTGCTCCAAGACCTGTCCAGCCTGTCCTTGAACAATACCAGAGTGGAGCAGCCACAGCTGCTCTGGGCAACTTGTGCCAGGGCCTCACCACCCTCACAGGGAAGGATTTCTCTCTAATACACTAACCCTTGAGGCAATTCACCCTTGTGCTGTGACTCCAGGCCTTTGTCCAAAGCCCCTGTCCTGCTCTTTTGGGATGTCCTTAGGCACAAAAAGAGGCTCTAACATCTCCCTGAAGCCTTCTCTTCTCTAGACTGAGACAACCTAACTTATGCAACCTTTCCTCAGGAGAAATGCTTCATCCCTCTTAATCATTTTTGTGGCTCTCCTCCACGGACCAGCACATCCCCAAAGCAGAAAGCCTGGACTATTCCAAGGCACAAACAGCCCAGCACTTCACTGCCCTGTTTTGCTGCTGTCTGGCCCCCTGGATACGAGGCAGGGGTGACATGACTCCCACTACTTTGCCCTGTGGCTGGATCCAGGGGACAGCACTGGGAGTAGCAAGTCCTTCTGCTCTGGAGCCTCACCTGGACATGTGCCCTCCTTTTACCACCAAAACTTTCCTGCTTTGGGTCTAAGAGAACCCACAAATGGGTCATGGGCAGCCAGGGACAACCCATCCTCAGGCAGCTCCAGGCAAGCAGGTTTAGTTTATTTTGGCTGCTGAAAACAACTGCCCATGAAGGATATCTGTGAGTGTCTGCAAGCCCAAGAAGACAGGAGACATGTCCTCTGGCCCTTTTCCTTGGGGGTAAAAACAAAAATTCAATTTTTATTATCTAAATTATGACATCTTCCTGTCAAGAACCTGAGGGCAGGCAGGGCCACCTGCACTGCTAGCCCTGGGCATCCTGCAGCTGCTGTGGGCCAAGGTCACAACCACATCCATGTTTTTATGCCCACAGATGGGGACCCACAGGGCAGAGTGACACAGCAGTGACAGCCCAGCACAAGCAGGATGCCCTAGCCCCAGGTCCCCCAGGTATGGCCTCTTTGCTGAAGATCAGTGCTTCCATGTGGTGCTGCTCAAAGCAGGAAAGAAACAGTCTTTTGTCCTGTTAATTAAATCAAGAAACCTGAAAGACATTGCCTTGGCCTCTAAGGTTTTGTTTAGCCCTAGATGAAAATGCTTTGCACTGAGTTTGGTGCAGGTGTTTTAAACACTTCTTTTTTTAGTTTCTGGAAGCATGAGTTCTGCTAGATCTTTGGGATCCTTTGGGATCCTTCCAAAATCTCCATTAGCTCTTCAAATCTTCCAAGACCTTCATTAGTCCACAAGCTGAACCACTTTTCAAGGCAAGGCCTTGTCCCACAGATGGACCAACCATCTCACTGTGCCAGGCTGGGAGCCATCCCAGACTCTGAGCCCAGTGTCCCATCCCCTGTGGCAGTTGTGCCCTGGCCAGTTTGGACAGGCCTCAGCTGGTTCAATCAGGCAAATGATCTAACAATTCTATCATTAAATATTTAGTATTGATGTCTTAGGAAGGAAATAGTTTGGGTTTGTGAGAGACATCATGGTGCTGATGTTCCTGCACTGGTGCCAACGCCTTCTCACTGTTGGCTGGTGAGTGCCTGCAGCTACTTCATGCCAGGCTGCCAGGCTTTTCCCATTGGGTTAGAGGGACCCAGCAGCATCCCTGGCAGCCCTGCATCCATAGCAGCTGGAGGCATATGGCTGATTCTGGGGAGGTTCTTGGTGAGGTCTGCAGGAGCAGCTTCACCCCTGCAGTGTCCCACACTCTGCGCTGCCTGGACATCTGCACTTGGCAGCCCATGTTTTATTACTTCTCTATCCCAAATCCTAAGGGGGTTTTCCAAACCCAGCCATTTTTCACATTTTCCTTGGATGAGTAGACTGTTGCATTGCTTCCAACTCCCAAAAAGTCATAAATCTCCCTAGCCTCTTAGCCTTCCTAAAATCAAGGAATTAGGAGGAAAAAAACACCCCCCCGCCAAAAAAAAAAAAAAAAAAAAAAAAAAAAGAACAGACAAAAAACCACACCAAACACAAAAGCAGCTTTTATAAGCAATACTTTTAGGAGAGGATATTTATTTTCCTCCAGGGTCTTCAGCCTTCTTCTCTCCCTTTGCTCAGTTTCTCGTGTAGCACCCCGCCTCCAGAGGGAGCCCAGAATTGTGAAACTAATGGGGCTATGAGAAAGTTAAGTATTGCAAAACTTAATTGGGTTGTTGGGGCTGCCAGGCTTGGAGCAGCTCATCCCACAGGATCCAACACCCCCAGGGATGAGCCAATTGCTTTGCATCCCGCAGGACAGCTGTGCCAGGGGGGTCTGAGGAGGGGCAGAGCTCCCACTGTGACTGCAGCACGTCCTGGGAACAAGGGGAGCTGGAGCTCCTCTCCAGTTCCCGTGGTTTTCCAGGGATTTCAACCATTTTATTGGGGGCATGGGCTGCTTCTCCTCCTCCTGCCTCTCAGTGGGATTGGCAGTTCTCTGCTCACAGGATGCTGGTGTGCTAGCCTCAGGATGGGGTGTGGTTCTGCAGAGCAGGATCCCTTCTTCAAGGTCCCCAGCCCCATGGATCCCTCCTGCCCTCTTGCTGCTGGCTGGAGGCACCAGGGTGATGCCTTCAGGGCTAGGGAACTTTTGCCCATCCTTCCAGCTGCCAGACCAGCTGCAGGGTTGAGAAATGGCTGGTGTGTGCCAGTGTCAGGCTGTGACAGCCACCTTGGCTGACCACTGCCACAGCTCAACAGCTGCTGAGTGCTCCAGCACTGCCTGTGAGCATGCTAATGACTCCCTGCAATGACAGATGGACGGGGAACACTGCCACAGGCACTGCTGTGCCAGCAGGCATGGTGGTGCTGGGGACATGCTCAGCAGAAATTCTCTGCCCCAGGCACACTTAAGGGCATGTGGATGCACATGCTGTGCCAGGCTGTCCCGTGGACATGCACACGGTAATTGTGCACACACTGGGACTGTGGTCATGCCATGTACATGCTCATCCTGTATCTGTGCCCACATCATGCTTATGGGTTGCACTGCCCATGGTCATGTGTACCCATGCTGACACTGACCATGGTCACACTGTGGCTTTGCTTGCACTGTGGCCCTGCTCTCACCACACCAAACTGTTCCCCTCTCATTCCTGGCTCTCCAGCAAGGTGAAGATGAAAGAGGCCTTCCATAGGCAACCAACCAACTGCTGGGGCTTGATGTCCTCCCCTCCAATGCCCCCAGACACCCTGGATGCATGAGCACTGTTGGTGCTGCACAGTGAACCCCCCAGACAAGGCTGGGGGAGGCACCTCATCCTGCAGCAGCATCCTGGACAAAAACAGGCTGGGGATAAAATTAGCTGGAGATTTTATAACTGGGGTTTTATTTTTTAAAGCAATGGAAAGTACATCACTAGTGGGAAAATCCTGAAGGTCTGGGTCAGCCTGTGCAATAGTAGTATGTCTCTGCTCTGTGGTGGATATCTTGTTCACCCCAGGAGGGATGTGAGGTGGGAGCTGGCTGTAGGAACAATTGGCATGGCAGCAAGGACCATGATCCTGCCCCTGGAATGCACCAGGGTGGTGCAGTGGCACATGAGGCAGCAGGGACAGCTGGGCCCTGCCAGGAGGCATCACATGGCCATAGGGCTCCTGGGAAACTCTGTTGGGAAGGACCCTTCCTCTAAGCAGTACTGGTCCCTCCAGCCAGGGAAGATACAACTGGGGGTCTGCAAACTCAGGAGAGTCCTGGAGAGATTGCAGAGGGATGGAGCCACCAGCAATTCCAGTGTATGAAGTGAAGGTAGAAGCCAGATCCAACCCATCCTAAAGCAGGCAGCTCCCAGTGCTGGGGTGCAGCAGCTCCCTGATAAGTGATGGTGCTTCTGGAGGTTTGCCTGCACTACAATAGAGGGATTTTGACAAGTACAGAGAGGAGGAATCTACTGAAGGGTGAAAATCAGAAAATCATGGCTGGCTCAGGTCACCCCCAGCTGAAGACAGCTGGAGACAGGAAAGTGTCCCATATGCTTGCTGTCACCTTCCTCATTCATGGATACCACTGGGTGGCAGGAGGGAACGGTGGAAATACCACAGCTGTGTTACTGGTGGCTGCTCCCAGGCTTATCTGCTGAGAGCGATGTGTCAGGCTCCAGCTGGATTCTGACATTATTTTTTAAACAAGTGGAACTTGAACTTGTAAAGATCTCACCTGAAAGCTTAAAGCTACTGCTAGGAGCCTAAGCAAGTGGCTGGTCCCCTGGCGAGCTGTCCAGTGACTCTCAGGAGACCTGAGTTATTGCAAACACTGGAAACATTTCTCCTCGTGCAGCAACCCACTGCTGAGGCACAGAACCAGGCATCTCTCCGCTCCCTGCCTCTCAGGAGTGATGGTCCTGGCAGAGTATTGAGGGGAGCCTGAGCAGCACCTGCAGCCTGGCACAGGGCTCAGGCTCTCCATGCCTCGGGCTGGAAGTGGCTGGGATGGGGCAGGTCCCTGGCAGCTCTTCTTGACCCTGGGTTAGGGAAGGTGCTTTGACTGTGCAACCCCCCGACCACAGAAGAGCTGACATTACTGATTTCGGGGCTCGCTTCCAAAGAGGGACGTGTGGGGTGTTGGAAAGGGAAGCTGAATCCTTTAGCAAGACACATAAAGTCTTCCTGCATGCCAAGGTGAGGGTAGGAGACGGTGGCAGCCAAGCAGGCTCCCAGCACAGTTTGGCATTCAAACCCTCAGAGGCTGAGCAGGCTCGTGCCTCGGGAAGGCAGAGGTGTGGGATCTTCCACGGGCTGCAGGTTGGTATCTGCTCTGCCATGGACCTCCACAGGTTTCAGGAGCACAGCTGCCTCTTCATGGTCATCCCCACGGGCTGCAGGTAATCTCTGTTCTGGCACCTGGAGCACCTCCTCCCCTCCCTCTCCACTGAACTAGGATCTGCAGGGCTGTGCAGTGGTTTTTACTCTTTCTCAAAAACATCATCCCAGAGGAGCCCCCATTTACTGCTGGCAGGCTTGGCTTCGGGTGGTAGTGAGTCCAACACAGGGACAGCTTCTGGTGCCTTCCACTAAGGCACTCTGCAGACCCCCACTGCCCAGACCTTTCCAATGCAGTCCCAAGGACACAATGTCTCCCTGGCAGGATGGGGACCAGACTAGAGCAGAAGGGGGAGGCACTGGAAGTGGGATGTGGATGCTCATCGATAGCAGCTCTGCCCAGCTCCTGTCTGCTTGATACACACACCAGGCAGGACCACGTCTGTCCTGACAGAAGCTTCACACACCTAAGCTGATGTCAGCTCTCCTGAGGGCACACCAACCTGGGCAGCTGCTCCAGCACCTGGTGCAAGGGAGTTTGAGATCTGAACCTCACCGTCTGCTCCTCAGAAAGGAGATGAGTGTCTGCTGAGTGCCTCTGGAAAGCTGCCTGCACCCCTATGTGCTGCCAAATTTTACACTCATGCACTGTTTCTCTGCTGAGAGTTTAACTTCAGCCCTGCCCAGGGACTTTGAGCAGAAAGAAATTACTCCAGTAAAGAAAGCTTTTCCCCACAGCAGGGTGGTGTTTCCCTGCAGCACCTGTCATTAGCCCATGAAACCATGATTGTTCTTCCACCTCACAAAAATGAAAATCCACATGAAACTGGAAAATTTGCACTCAGTAGTTTCATCCAAGTCACCTGTTGAAACCTGAGAGCAGGAGGTGGGACAAGCATCCTTTCCATGCTCTCTCTGGGCATGGCCCTATCCCTGCAGGCACAGAGGAGCACCTGGAGGTCACGGCCAGTTTCCTTTGAATGAACCTGGGTAGGTTTTTCTTTTTCTTTTGTTCTAGGAGGAAACCACAAGTGTATCTTAAAAGGGCAGGGCTATGGCCTTGAGTGAAGCATTAGCAGCTCTGAAGGCCTGAGATCATCCCAGAACACAGATGGTCTCTATTTCCTTTCCCCTCATGGTGGCTCAATCACCTCTGCAATCTACTTCAGCCTCAGAGATGTGTTTAACTGGTGCCATCCCAGGTGAGGGTCCTGACTGCTCTCTTGTCCTGCAGCAGAGAACATTTGTCATGGGATCTTTTCTTCAAAATACTTTGCAGATCAGAACCATTGAATCATTTGAGTGGCAA